TCTCTCCCCCCCTCCCTTCCTCTCTCTAAAATCAATAAAAACATTAAAAAAAGAAAATTGAAGCCTTCCCTGCTATTATGCCATGTGTCTGCTAGCTAAATTAGAAGGGGATAGATTTTAATAGAGAAAGATGAAGACATTTTAGGAAGCCTTTTAGATACTTTCATTTTTGGATCATTTTAAACTTGTGCCCAACTATGTCATGTAAGAAATGACATGCTTCCAGAGTAAAGGATTTCTGTGTCATTCCTACCTCAACTCACTCTTCACTTTTGAGCACTTCAGTCTGCCGTGCCTTCATCCATGTAAATAAACTTCCTTATACCCATTAATTAATTTGTTACCCTTTTCGTAGAATTTCCTGCCATTTTCTTACTTTAATGAGAAATACAAAGTGCATCCTACATGCAGAGTCTAGCCACAACAGCTAAAACCTTCCACAACAGCTAAAAACTTACAGATCTTACATAGAAAAGTAGATTTCTTCTTCCGAAACTGATAAATAGATATTGTGGTCCTCTTTTTTCCATCCGGCATCATTTATTCACAGCTAAGTAGTAGCAGACTGCATTAAATGGGTTGCAAACAGTAATTTGCCACAGTTCCCACCCAGCCCAGGTCATTAATTTCCCATCAAACCTGCATGGGTATTTGAGAGGCCAGTGATTTCTGTGAAGCTTGTTGATCCCTTCAAACAGACTTTTTCAAACTTTTTTTGGCCAGTGACTACAGTAAGAAATGCATCATTTTCTATAACTTAGTGCATGCACACATATGTATAAATTTATGTAAGTAAGTGAAAATTTCACAAAATATTATTTGACTTTACTATATGCAGTGATGTCAATATTTTCTGTTCTAGTTCCTTAAGTAATTCTGTGGTTACAAACCAGTGAATTAATTTTACAGACTATTAAGGTATTTTAACTTGTACTTTATAAAAAACTAGAGGCCCAGTGCATGAATTTTGTGCAGAGGTTGGGGGGTGTCCCTCAGCCCAGCCTGCACCCTCTTCAATCTGGGACCCCTTGGGAGATGCCCGACTGCCAGTTTAGGCCCAATCCCGGTGGGAGCTGGCAGTCGGACATCCCTCTCACAATCCTGGACTGCTGCCTCCCAACCGCTCGCCTGCCTGCCTGCCTGATTGCCCCCAATTGTCCTCCCTTGCCAGCCCAGTTGCCCCTAACTGTCCTCCCCTGCCAGCCTGGTTGCCCCCAATTGCCCTCCCCTGCCAGCCTGGTCGCTCGTAACTTCCCTCCCCTGCTGGTCTGATTGCCCACAACTGCCCTCCCCTGCTGGCCCGGTCATCCCTAACTGCCCTCCCCTGCTGGCCCGGTCACCCCTAACTGCCCTCCCCTGCTGGTCTGATCGCCCACAACTGCCCTCCCCTACCAGCCATCTTGTGGCAGCCATCTTGTACCCACATGGGGGCAGACATCTTGTGTAACAGCATCATGATCAATTTGCATATTATCTCTTCTGGTCGCCGCCAATTGCCCTCCCCTGTTGGCCTGGTCACCCCTAACTTCCCTCTCCTGCTGGCCTGATCGCCCACAACTGCCCTCCCCTGCTGGCCATCTTGTGACCACATGGGGGTGGCCATCTTGTGCAAGAGCATGATGGTCAATTTGCATATTAGCCTTTTATTCTATAGGATTGCCCTAGCACAGCATTCCCTTATAGCCTCACCCTCCACAACCCTACCCTTGGATGTTAGCTGGTTCTCCACTGCTTCTTCCAAATTGTTGTCTTTCTGTCCTTTAAAGGTATCTTATTCTGTCCTTTGGAGAATCACCTCTACCCTTCTTCATAACAGTCATCTACGTACCTTGAGGTAATTCCCTCACAGTAAGAGTTTCTGTAGTCAAACTACTACCATCCCAAACAGGCAGGCTAGTCCCTTTACATTTGATGGCCAGTAATTTCCATAACTAAACACTGAACCTTTTCATTGCTTGGAACTGAAGAGCCCCTGAAGTTTTAAACCACAGTCTTTGTCCTTTTTAGCTCTTTCTTTTCTATACTTTTAATTCCTTTTATAGATTACTGAGTCCTCTGTTTTCCAGCAGGTTTCTTTCAAGTGTTTCTCTCTCTTCTTGTTTCATTTTCCAGTCTTTTCCATTCTAGGTCCTACAGTAAATGATTTTAATAATTCTTTTTTAAAAAAATATATTTTTATTGATGTCAGAGAGGAAGGGAGGAGAGGGATAGAGAGTTACAAACATCAATGAGAGAGAAACATCAATGATGAGAGAGAATCATTGATTGGCTGCCTCTTGCATGCCCCCCACTGGGGATCGAGCCCGCAACCTGGGCATATGCCCTGACCAGGAATTGAACCGGTGACCTCTTGGTTCCTGGGTCGACGCTCAAACGCTGAGCCACACCCGGCTGGGCTGATTTTAATAATTCTTGACTGTACATTCACTTTATACCTGCCCCTAGGCTTTCTCCCATAATGCATTTGCTAATCCATGACCTGGGTTACTCCAGCTGTCTATTTTATCTACATGTGAATCAGGGTTGTATAAACCAAGTGAAGGCAATCTCACTCCCATAGAGATTGTTATAACTACAGATTTAAAGTCTCAGCCCTCACTTAGGCTCTCACCTCTATTTGGGAGTAATGTAGTGTTTCTGATCAGGTTGATCACCTTATATTACCTATAACAGTTATTCCAGATTTTCACCATTCTCCCTAATTTCTTACCCATTTTGTGAGCTCTTCATAGACGAATTAGAAGCTGTCACAAGTAAATTCTTATCTTTATAGCCCCACACAATCATTTCTACTTTCAAACCCATCACAGTTACCCTTCCTCTAACTTCTGAGGATAAGATATATCTTTTCTAGTATCTAAGGCTAATCTTTAGAACTCTTCTAGAACCAATCCCATTTCTTCTAGCATAGTCTTCCATCAATTTTTACATTACTTTTCTATATTATCAACCTTTCCCAATCAAACTCTCCCTGGCTTATCCTTAGCTTATAAAACATGCTGAAATGCAGTCTATTTTTAAATTTTAAAAAATACATTTATTTGGTGAAAATTAGATCTATCTATAACCCTTACTCCATATCACTTTACAACCAAGCTTAAAAGAATGGTCTTTAGCCCTGGCTGGTGTGGCTCAGTTGATTGAACATTGCCCCATGCACCAAAAAGTTGCAGGTTTGATTCCCTGTCAGAGCACATGCCTGGGTTAAGCAGCTGATCAGTGTTGCTCTCTCCCTCTCCCTTCCTCTCTCTCTAAAATCAATAAAAACATTTAAAAAAAAAGAATAGTCTTTAATAACCATCTGCTTCCTTTTCTGTTATTCCTTGTTTAGGATTATTTTCAAGTATCACCTCCTCCATATTTAACCCTCCTCTACCACACCCTCAATACACACATATCTGTATCACATTGTAATTTTGTTAGACTTTGGGTTCTTTGGTAAAAATTTTATCTAATTTATCTTTGAATCCAAAACACCTGGTAATGTACCATCAAGCACATAGTAGGAAATGTATAAATAAAAAATGAGAGAAGTTGCAAGACTAGGCATATGAAAAAAGAGGGATCCCTAACCTGTTTGGCTCAGTGGATAGAGCGTCAGCCTGCGGACTGAAGGGTCCCAGGTTCGATTCCAGTCAAGGGCATGTACCTTGGTTGTGGGCACATCCCCAGTAGGGGGTGTGCAAGACACAGCTGATCAATGTTTCTCTCTCAGCGATGTTCCTAACTCTCTATCCCTCTCCCTTCCTCTCTATAAAATATCAATAAAAGATATTTTCTTTTTTGTAAATATATCTTGATGGATTTCAGAGAGGAAGGGAGAGAGAAAGAGAGATAGAAACATGAATGATGAGAGAGAATCACTGATTGGCTGCCTCCTGCACATCCCCCACTGGGGATAAAGCCCGCAACCCAGGCATGTGCCCTTGGCTGGAATCGAACCTGGGACCCTTCAGTCTGCAGGCTGACACTCTATCCACTAAGCCAAACCAGCTAGGGCAATAAAAAATATTTTTAAAAAAAGAAAAAGAAAGAAAGGGAGCGTTTTGAGATGTTGCTTCTTGGCATGTCTCCAGTTTGGTTTAAATAAACTCAAATAAATAAATATTTTTTAAAAAGAAAAGTAAGCCCTAACCGGTTTGGCTCAGTAGATAGAGCATCGGCCTGCGAACTGAAAGGTCCCAGGTTCGATTCCTGTCAAGGGCATGTACCTTGGTTGCAGGCTCATCCCCAGTAGGAGGTGTGCAGAAGGCAGCTGATCGATGCTTCTCTCTCATTGATGTTTCTAACTTTTTATCCCTCTCCCTTCCTCTCTGTAAAAAAATCAATAAAATACATTTTTAAAAAAAGAAAAGTAAGATATATTGAACACATTTTAGCAGATTTTCAGTAATAGGTAATTATTTTGACATTTTTATAAGGGTGATGAAGTATTCAGAGGTGATATTTTCTTCTGAAATACATTTCAGAAATTTATCTTTTTATTATAAACTAGAGGCCCGATGCATGAAATTCATGCAAGGGGCTCAGCCCTTGCAGCCCTAGCTGCCTCGGCCGGACCTCACAGACCCCGGCTTTGTCCAGAAGATCCTCTGGAATGTCGTCCAGATGGTCATTCTGCTGTTCGGTCTAATTAGCATATTAGCTCTTTATTATATAGGATACATTATTTTAAATTCTATTTGTAGATTTTTTTATTAAGATTTTATTTAATCATTTTTTTCTTTCTTAAATTTTGTTGATTTTTAGAGAAAGGGAGGTTGAGAAAGAGAGAAACATTGATGTGAGAGAGAAACATTAATTGGTTGTCTCCTGCATGTGCCTTGACCAGGGATTGAACCTGCCATCTTTTGGTGCAATGCTCCAACCGGCTGAGCCACACCAGCCGAGGCTATATTTATAGCTCTTGATATCAAAGATACAAAACAAGAAAATTGGTACTTTCATTCCTATTATAATTTTAAATAGATTAACTCATTTTTTATGTATACCTATAACAGAATCATTTAGTGCACCCACATTTTCATATGGACCTGATGGAAATGGTTTCTCTCTTGGATACAGTAAAAATTGGAGACAAGTCTTTGGCGATGAAAAGAAATACTGGCTACTTCCAATATTTTCAAGGTAATTTATAAAATGCAGGTCTCAGAAATTATGAAAATTACAGTTAAATGTCTTAAGGTTCAGAGACTACAATATATAATTCTTAGCCTTAAGAATGAAAACCCAGAATAACTTGATTCTATAAAGTATTTTCTTTATTTTTTTTTATTAGAGAGGGTAAAGGAGAGTTTGGGCATATATTTGAATGGAATATTGAAAAAGATGGTTCATAAAAAATAAGAATTACTACCTATTTCCTTCAAAATGAAAATACATTGAAAGAGAGAAAGTATATAAATAATGAATGAGTGAAGTTGCAAGAGTAAGAATATTAAAAAAAGAGGAAGCATTTTGAGATCTTGCTTCCTGGCATGTCACCAGTTTGGTTTAAATAAACTCTTATTAAATAACTAAACAAATAAGTAAATAAATTTTTTTTTAATATACTTTTTTGATTTTTTTACAGAGAGGAAGGGAGAGAGATAAAGAGTTAGAAACATCGATGAGAGAGAAACATCGATCAGCTGCCTCCTGCACATCTCCCACGGGATATGTGCCTGCAACCCAGGTACATGCCCTTGACCGGAATCGAACCCGGGACCCTTCAGTCCGCAAGCCGACGCTCTATCCACTGAGCCAAACTGGTTTCGGCGGTAAATAAATATTTTTTAAAAGTAAGGTATATTAAACACATTTTAGTAGATTTTCAGTAATATTAGATAATTATTTTGACATTTTCATAAGGGTGATGAAATATTCAGAGGTGATATTTTTAGCCATATCTTTAAAAATTCTATCACAGATTATACTGTTTTATCTTAAATCATAGAAGATCTAACACAATGTAATTTTTACTAAAATGTAAATGGGAATATATGTTTGAGATGTTATATAGTTTCCTTTTCTTCCAAATAAGAGTCAACCGAGGCTATCTATATACAAAAGTCATTATAGAAGAGGAAAAAATATTTGATATTCAAGTGATATTGTTGTGAGTGTTGTAGGTTTTTATTTTCCTTAACTGTATTGCCTATTTTTGAGTGAAAATGACTTACTTTGCCTTCGTTTTTGAAAAACATTTTTGCTTGGCATAGAATTCTACATTTTGCTTCATTGTCTTCTGGCTTGTGGTTTTTCTGATGAGAAATTCGCAGTCACTATTCTTTTTTTTTTAATTAAATCTTTATTGTTCAGATTATTACAGTTGTTCCTCTTTTTTCCCCCCATAGCTCCCCTCCACCCAGTTCCCTCCCAACCCTCCGCCTTCACCCGCCCCCCCCAAACTGT